ACTCACCTCCCCCATCCTTCATGACATAAGAGATCTTAGAGGGACATGTGACGCTGCGGCAAAGAGGAGAGCAGATGGATTTTGTTCGGCTTCTCTCTCAGAGCTTCAGATCTGAAACAACCTTAACAGCCAACGGGGTGGGGGTGGGGCATATTGACAGGACAAGGGCAACACAGTTCTATCGATTGTACATATCATTGTATCAAAAAAAAAATGTGCAGCCCCTTAAGGAAAGTCTGCATTAGGTATTAATGAAGAATAATCTCCACGCTGTACTGTTTATTAGAAATAAAAATGAAGATAAAAGCAGTATCTTTAGTAGCTGCCCCTTTGTTCGTGTAAAGATATGGGTTAATGGTTATGTATGCAAGAACATTTTTGTTTGGATATACAACAACAAGGCTTGTTCAGGGGATGGGGATGAAGGCAGAGGCTCCACTGGGCAAGGTAGAGCATGCCTGTGATCCCAGTACTCAGGCAGGCAGAGGCAGTTCAAGACAAAGTCTTGTTACATTAGAGCTCAGGCCAGCCTTGAACTTGTCACCTTCTAAGTGACAACCTGATAACATCCCAAGTGCTGTGATTGCTGGACTAAACCACTATGTCCAGCTCCAATTATTTCATTTATTTTATTTATTTACTTTTGGAGACAGGCTCTCTTTATGTACCTCTGGGCTGTCCCACTATGTAGACCAGACAGGCCTCGAACTTTCTATGTAGATGTGACTGGCCATGAACTTACAGAGATCCTCTCTCTCAAGTGCTAGGATTAAAAGCCTGGCTCCATCTTGTTGTTGTTGTTGTTGTTGTTGTTGTTGTTGTGTTTATATTGTGGTTGTTTATGTTTTGGGTTTTGGTTTGGTTATTTGAGACAAGATTTACCTGTATGCCTCAGATGTCCTGGAACTTTTTCTGTAGAAAAAGCTGGGTGAACTCAAGAGATCCGCCTGCTTCTGCCTCTGGAGTGCTAGGACTAACGGTGTGCGTCACCACATCCCTGGCAAGTGTTTTTTTAGAATCTAGGCCAAACTGGTTATGATGTAGCAGCCATGTAAGCTGTGTTGGTTTGAAAAAGAATGACCTCCTACCCCCACCCCAATGTGCTCATATATTTGAATGCTTGACTCCTAGTTGATGGAACTGTTTGGGAAGGATTAGGAGTTGTGACCTTATTAGAGGTGTGTCACTTCAGGTAGGCTTTGAAATTTCAAAAGCCCACACCCTGCCCATTTAGCTTTCTGCCTTCTGCTTGCTCTAGTGCCATGCCTAGATGTCTCCTCCAGTACTCCTTGCCATTATGGTCATGAGCTCTAACCCTCTAGAACCATTAGACCCGAATAAAATGCCTCCTTTTATAAGTTGCATCGGCCACGGTGTTTTATTATAGCAACAGAACCGTAACTAAGAAATAACCCAAGCTGGCTTCAAACACTAGGTGACCCTCCTGCCTTAGTCTCCTGAGGGCAAAGATAACGGTGTCATCTACCACATCCAGTGGCAGTAGTTTATTTTAAACCAAAGGAAGTGAAGGGTAAAGTCTCTATTAAAAGCAAAGATAAGTTGGTTTTAGTAGGTAGAAACATAATCTGTGGTAAATAAGAAGGCTCCTAAACTGACAAAATAATTCCTTCTTTTCCTTTTTTATTGTTAATTCTTATTTTTTTTAATGTGGAAGACTCTCTGAGGAGTTAGAGCAAGGAGAAACATGATCAAAACATATTCTATTTAAAATTTTAAACATTATAGATAATGAATACATACACACACACACACACACATATATATATATGCTTTACCTGCATGTATGTCTGTAGACCATGTGTGTAACAGTGCCCACAGAGGCTAGAAACAAGGGCTGGATCCACTGGGACTGAGGTTGCAGATGGTTGTGAGCTGCTTTGCGGGTGTTAGGAATTGCACCAGTATCTTCTGGAAGAGCCTCCGATGCTCTTAACCGTTGAGCCACCTCTCCAGCCCTGGGGGGCAAAATGCAACTAGAGGAAAATGTGCAGGTGCATATAAGGAAGGCCTGAAGTCGGCTGAGCCCAAAGGAAACAGTAGATAAGAATAAGAGAAGGAATTAGGAAAATCAAGAATAGCAAAATAACAGAAAATTGCAAATCCTGAAACTGATTCTTATTTTTTAAGACTGTTTGTTTGTTTGTTTGTTTGTTTGTTTATTGAGACAGGGTTGCTCTGTGTAGCCCTGGTCATTCTAGAACTAACTCTGTAGACCAGGCTGTCCTTGAACCCAGAGATCTGCCTGCTTCTGTCTCCAGAGTGCTGGGATTAAAGGTGTGTGCCACTGCTGCCTAGTGTAATGCAATTATAAAATAAAATAAAATGAAATAAAATAAAATAATAAAATAAAATAAAAAAATTTTTTTTGGCTGGTTGTGGTGGCATGTGGCCTTAATCCCAGCACTTAGAAACCACAGGAAGCCATATCATTGTGAGTATGAGGCCAATGAAAGGACAGTCTTCTGACCTATACACAAACACACACACACACACACACACATGCACTCATGCACAGAGACACACCATCATTAGTGTACACACAAATAAATGTTTGGTTTTTTTTAATCCTTTAAATCTTTTCCATGACATTATTGCTCGTGTGTGCGCTACAGCACATGTGTATGGGTCAGGGAACAGCTCTGAGGTGCTGGTTCGTTCATTCAACCACCTGGGTCCTGGAGACCAGCTCAGGTCAGCAGGGCTGGCAACAAGCACCTCTACCAGCTGAGCCTTTTCACTGGCCCTTTTAAATGTTTTAAGTTACATTTTATGTATTCTCTTTTACGAAGCTTTCGGCAGTGGGTAAGTTAGTACAGGGCAAAGTTCATACAGGTGTGATAGTTCACTCTTAATCTCCACACTCAGGAGGCTGAGGCAGGAGGAATGCTGAGTTTTAGGCCAGTATGGACTAAGCAGTGGTTCTCAAGCTTCCTAATGCTATGGCCCTTTTATGCATTCCCTCATGTTCTGGTGACCATGACCCCCCAGCAATAAAATTATATCCGTTGCTACTTCAAAACTGTTACGAATCATAATGTAAATATTTTTAAAGATAGAGGTTTGCTAAAGGGGTCTCAACCCACAGGTTACAGTATGAGACTGTCTTTTAAAAGACAAACAAAACAAAAACCATCAGACAGGGATGACTTTGAAGCGCTAGAGATGGCTCAGCAATGAAGAGCCTGAGTTGCTCTCGCAAAGGACCCAAGTTTGGTTTTCAGCACCCAACTTTGGAGGCTGACAGTCACTTGTAAACACACACGCTCAAAATAAAAGTATATGATAGATAGATGGTGGTGAAGGAACTGAGGATGGCAGGGGTGGCTCCATTTTGTTTCTCAGACTCTATCTTAAGTTAACTGACCTTGGAGTGACTTGACCCCCACCTTTGGGTTCTGAGAAGGGCCACGCAGCCCTCCACCCTGCAGGCTGTCGTGAATGCCACTGAATGTGTTAATGGGACCTCCACGCCACCCAGATATGGGTAATATCTGTACCCATCGTACAGATATTAGATATCTGTCAGTTTGGCCGGGTGGCTTGGAACAATTTGCCTAAAGGACATCTTGATTGCTGAACCCCCCAACCCAAAACTTTCCCTTCCTCATAACTGCAAGGCTTGGAATTCCCCCGATTGCCGTTTTTCCCTTTAAAAACTCTGCCTCCCTGAGACTCGGGGGGGGGGGGGGGGGCTCATTTTCTAACCTGCTGCGTCAGGGAAGATTGGCGCCCAAGCTTGAATAAAGATCCTTGTGTGATTTGCAAAAGACTGGACTCCTAGTGGTCTTTTAGGGTCTCTCGAATCGGGCACAACAGTGGTGGGCCTCATGGTCTACATGGTCTCCAAGACTAAGGAACTCTGGACCAACCCAACCCAGCCCCCCCCCCCCCCCCACTGAAGAGAAGAAGAGAGAGGCCCTCAACTGCTGTAGTCCCAATTCAACACCCAACTCTGAGCATCTCCCCTCACACTCTCCATCTCAGACCCCCCCACACACACACACCGCCTAAGTAGAGGACTGGTTTAAGAAGCCTCTCTTAAATATCATCAATCAAGTTCACCTGGAAGAAAAAAAAGGAACTTTGAATACAACAGATTGCTTTGTTTGCATGATGTAGGTGGCCTCATTCAAATGGTCTAAGGGTTCTTCCTCTTCTCCCACCCCACTAACCCCAGCGAAGAGGGAACTATTGAAACTCGCTGTGCCTTTGGATTTTGAACTTGCCTCCTGCCTGGGTCTCTGGTGTGCTAGTTTATCCCACAGCTTTGGAATTTTTTTTTTTTTTTTTTTTTTTTTTTTGGACAATTCTTGAAAAACAATCTCTCTGTAAAATTTTATACATCCCATTGATTTTCTTGGGATTCGTTACTGGTCTAACCTAGTTTACTAGTATCACCCCAAACAACAGGATTCTACAAGTTCCTGCTTTGCTGCTCAATCGTAGACAGCGTTTATCTCCAAAAGACGGCATTTGTTCCCTGCCTGGAAAAGCCTTCTGCGTGGTGGCAGGCGGCAGCCGGAGCCATTAGCCGCCAGGGAGTCTTCTGTCAGAGAAGCTGTGCTCATCAGCGCAGAGGAGGCCGGTCGGCTAAAGTGACACCGCCTTCTGTCAGCTGGTAAACTTAATTATGCTTCTAACTACATAAATTCAAGTAAATACGTTCGAAAATACCCGAGTTTCATCTCGAACCTACAAAGGATTAATTGCAAGAAAGCAGATTACTAATGAGTTGGGAAAAAAATTGTTTTCTTCACTGTGTCACCCACAAAAATTAGTGCTTTGAGTGGTTATTTTATTTGCCAGTTCTGCAGGGAAAGTACTGTTTCCTCAATCAACACATCATGGATTTCTACATTTCCAGAATAAGAAAGAGGAGGGATGCTGGAAATGGCCTAAGTTTTTCCCCCTTGTTCCCTTACCACGGAGACAATATACATACATATATATGTATATAATAAAAATAAATTAAAAAAAACCTCCCGGGTTTAAGCGTTTCCCCAGCTGCGCTCGACTGACTCTATCCTGGGCAGTGTTTTCGTTTCTCCTCCCCTCTCTGGAGCCAATCCGAAGGACACAAATAGCTCCGAGCCCCCTGGGAGGGCACTGCGGAGGTACTGGCTGATTGCCCGGCTTGGCGCAGTGTGCAGGCTCCTCCTCCGCTGGCCTGGACTCCTGCAGGCTGGAGGCCTCGGCTGGGCTGCGCACTGCGGCTCTGCGGTGCCAGGGCCTGCGGGGATTAACATGGCTGCGATTCATCCAGTTCATTCGTGCACCACCTGGGCCTCGGCGTCAGTGACTCATTGTTTCCTCCCTGAGAAGGCCGAGCTCGTGGTGGTGTCGGTAACCCAGGCAAAGGGAAAAAAAAAATTTTTTTTAATCCTTTCAACATAACCAGTTTTCTAAACCTGAGTACAGAAGTGGGGACGTAGGGTATGTCTTCTGAGGCAGCCGTAGCCAAGGTTCCTTGCTGCCTTTGAGTTGTCCTGCGGGGAACAGAGCTTTAAATTTACGGTCTACAAACAGAAGGAGGCCCGAAGCCAGGGTTCCCTTAGCTATGAGGATGGTTCAACAGAAGGAACCGAACATACTGGATTTTAGTGACAGTACCTATAATTTGTGTAAATAAACATATTGGCCGATACATTTGCTATGTCTAAATAAAAGATCTGAGCGGGGCTTGGTGGTGCACGCCTGTAATCACAGAACTCCGGGAGAGGCAAGCAGATTATTTGTGAGTTCAAGGCCAGCCTGGTCTACAAAGTGAGCCAAGGACAACCAAGACTACACAGAAAAACCCTGTCTCGAAAAAGCAAACCAACCAAACAAACAAATAAAAGACATGCATCAAATACAAATTTTCTACATCTCTGTGTGTGTGTGTGTGTATGTGCGTGCGCGCCCCACAGTGTTCTTACAGAGATCAGAGGACTATTTACAGGAGTCAGTTTCTCCATTCACTTTGTGAGTTCCAGAAACAGAACTCAGAGAGAGTCAAGCCTGGCTGCAAGGACTCATGCCTGCTGGGTGGCCCTGCCTCCCTGTACCTGTAGGAGCATGACATCACTCACCTCACAGCAAATCTGCCTCGCTTTGGCCTAGTTTCACACTGCTTAGGAGAAGAGAGAAGCAGGAATCATGGGACTTCGGGATCTCTTTCTGGCTAAGCACAGCGCACCTCAAAAGCTTGCCTGACAGCTGGGAAGACATTGGCTATCTTTCCGTAGACTCTACAGAGATACAGATTCTGTGTTGTAGAGTATTGTGTACATTCTCAAATCTTGTTATTTGGCCTCATTCTAGTATCTGCAAATTTTATGATGTTTATAATTAATAATAATAATAATAGGACAGGACATGTAGCTCAGGGATAGAGTACTTGCCAAGTATTTGCAAGGCCTGGATTCTACCTTAATACTGTCAAAACAGCAAGCAGATAAAAAAAAATTTTTTTTTTAAATGGAAAAAGAAATAAATTCAGGATGATGGGCATGTAGCTCAATTAGCAGAGTGCTTTCTTAGTTTGCAAGAAGCCCCTGGTAACATTCCCAGCAGTGCTTAAATGGGACCTGGTAGGGCTATGCCTGTAGCCCTAGCATGTGAGAAGTGGAAGGATGATTCAGGTTAAGGTCAGCCTCTGCTACATAGTGAAGTCCAGGCCAGCATGGACCATGTGAGACCCTGTGTCAAAAGACAAAAACAGAACAAATAGAAGAAGGAGGAGCAAGAGGAAGGAGGAAAAAAAGAGGAGGAGAACAGAAAGGGAAAAAGAGAAGGAACAGGGAGGAAGGGAAGGAAATCAAGAAGAGATCTAAGTAGGTCTGAGTCAAACCCTGAGAACAGCGTGCCACCGAGCACAATGCCTCTTGAATAAATTCCAAAACAGACTCTCCATAAAATAAAGATGGAAGACACTGAAAAGGAGAAGATGGCCATAGTACAGGGAGATTACCCACAGGGCTTAATAAAACCAAAGGGAAGAGATGCCATTGTTATGCTGTGAATCAGTTGCTGTAGTAACAGGAGACCTGTCTGGCCTTGGCTAGTTTCCTGTGGTGTGTCTATACTCTAGCCTATGAACCGGCACTTGTTTGGGCTTTGAATGAGAAACACTCAAAATAATAAAGATTATGTCTCTGTCTTTCAGATCCATGTTATAGTTCAGCAGTTTGGGTGTTTTTCTTTGGTTGCCAGAGTCCTTAAAGACAGGCACCAAAATATTTGCTTCACCTTTCTGGAAACTTAACGAAGACATTCAAAGATTACGCCTGTTTTCATAGGCAGGGCATCTGCAAACGGTGCCAGTTTAAGTGCCTGAATGTCTCCCATCTAACCAGAAGCAGGAATGGTTCTCTGAATGAGCCTTTTATTGTTACAAGAAATCTGTGTACAAAAGAGCCTCATCAAATATTAACAGGTTTGTGGTGCTTGTATCAACAATATAACTGTTTGGTCCAAAGGGAAACCCCAAGCTCCCCAAAATAGCAGTGCCACTGACTGTCCCATAATAACAGTTTGGGCTCGGCTCAGGCTGACTTCTCACAGGGGTAAACAGAAATAATTTCTGGCAGAGATAAACGCCTACATTCAGCCTTCCTCGGGAACCTGTGAGGCAGGTTCCTGTCTGCCTTGAAGAGCCATCACTTCTTATCTCTCCCTGCAGCTGTCGACTGCAAATGAGACCTATGGTTCTCTATTAGCACAAACATAGGATTCATATGAAAGTTCCATGATAACCTCCAGGCTCTTTAGGTCCCTATTAACACTATTAACTTGTACCCATAATGAATATCAAAGACACCAGGCTCTTCTGGTCTGTACACTTCCTTCTCCCCTCTCTCCTGAAATTCTAGGTTGTTCCAGATTCCACACCCTCCCTTTTCTAGCTGCACCTTTCTCTTTAAAACCAACCATCCCACCTGCCCCCAGCCCCTAGCAGATAGTTCTTGACTCCCTCAAATGCCTCTGGCTATTCTCTTTCTACTGCCTGGGGAGGTGGCCACAGGGAAGTTTTTACAATAAACCTTCCAACCTGTGGAGTCATCCAGTTTAATGATTGCACTATGGCCCACTTACAATAACCAAGCAAGGTGGTTAAACTATCGGAGGACTGTGGCAAGCCAGGCAGAGCACTGTGCAACCCTACTAAGTACAGCTGAGCAAGATCATCCCACACAGACTAAAATTAAATTTCTGAGCAGCTGCTAGGTTCGTAGAGAGGTGCTTTATTTCCACTTGCTTGTTAGTATATCATAGATGAGGGGACAGAGTCCCTGCTCCATGTTGTCACTCTCAGCAGCCTGAGAGGTTCTAATCTTTCAGAGACCTCAGCTCAGGCCAAACCAGGATTCCTATAGCAGGAGAAAAAAAAAAAAAAAAAAAAATCAGACCAAGCTGGTTTGAAGCAGAGTTGGAAATTTTATTATATATATATTTCAATATAGACTTGGGGTTAGGAGAAAGAGAAGTGCTCAGAAAGAAACATATCTACATACTGGGTGTGTGCTTCCCAGGGGAGAGTGACAATGAATTGTCCCAGTACCTTATATATCATTTTGGTGCTTCTTAGGTTACATTTCAAAAGGTTACCAAGAAACCTCTCTCTCTCTCTTTCTCTAGTGAGATTATAGGGTGGTCCTAGAAATATGCTTAGATGAAATTATGATCTGAAAAACTAAAACTGGAAGCCACTAAAACTGCACCAGGGAGACCCAGTGGGGCGACAAACACCTTTAACACCAGCGTTTGGGAGGCAGAGGCAGGAGGATTTCTATAATTTCAAAGCCAGCCTGGTCTATGTAGTGAGTTCCAGGTCAGGCAGGGCTACATAATAGAGAGACCCTGTCTCAAAACAACTAAAAAATTAATTAGACAAAGGGTTTAGCACATGCCTTTTCTCTGTAAGTGGGGCTTCTGTCGAGATTCCCTGCAAACTGTGGATTTGTAGATGGGAAAAGAAAAACGCCATAAGCAGTTGCTAAATATGCTAGGATTCTTTTATTTTTCCAATTAAGTTTGCTTTCTGACAGTTCCACACGTGTATATAATGCATATGACCACTCTTACCTTCCACCTTCTCTTCCTCCTATCATTCCTTTCTGCCTCCCCCTTTTCTAATCTCTCTGTCCTGTTCATATCTGTTTCTTCTGTTTTGTGTTTAGGCAGGGTTATGTGACTCCTCTTCTCCTAGAATCTATCCGTGGTTCAGCAGTATGGGATGGGGCCCTACGAGGCCCTCCTCTGACTGACTGTTGACAGAGCCAGGCTTGTGTGTGGGCCCTTATTGTGAGTTCATGACCTCAGTGCTTGTATGTGTCTAAAGGATGGAATTTCACAGCTCTTCACTCTTTCAGTTCTTGGAAGATTTCAACCTGCCCCTTCTGAAAAATTCCCAGAGCCATAGAGGAGGGGGTGTGAATTGTGCTGGAATTCTTTCCTGTGTGTGTGTGTGAGAGAGAGAGAGAGAGAGAGAGAGAGAGAGAGATTCTCTCTGTAGTCCTGGATGTCCCGGAACTCACTGTGTAGAACAGGTTAGCCTTGAACTCACAGAGATCCACCTGCCCCTGTCTCCAGAGTGCTGAGATTAAAGGTATGTGACACTACTGCCTAACAGGTGTGCCTTTCTTTTAATGTCTCCACAGTTTTGTTTTGTCTTTCTATCCTGTAGCTACTTTCCCTTTGTCCCTACAGAAGTGGTTCTCAACCTGTGGGTCTCAACCTCACAGGGATAGAATATCAGATTATATATATATATATTTACATTATAATTCATAACAGTAGCAAAATCACAGTTATGAAGTATCAAAGCAATGAAAATTTTATGGTTGGGTCATCACAACAAGAGAAACTATATTAAAGGGTAGCAGCATTGGGAAGTTCAGAACCACTGGCTGACAGAGATTCTCACTCCTTCCTCATGGGCTGTAGGTTCACACTGAAGGCCAAGGTGAAGGCAGTTTGCACAGTTGGTTGTTCTTTCTCTGAGTTCCTATAACCATTTCACCACAAGCTTTTTGTTTGTGTGGAGAAAGGATGGCCTCAGACTCATAGAGAGCTTCCAGCATATTCATCTCTCCAGTGTTGGGATACAGTTGAGAGCCACCATACATGACTTACCATGCATTTCATGAATGTAAAAGTCTCTGAAGCACCTTTCAGGGGGAAATCATTGCAACATGATCAGTGGAAAGGAACTCTTATCAAGGAATCCATTTGAAGTTTCTAGCCAGCAGAAAAGCAAGAATTCCAGAAAAGCTAACAACTGCTTA